TCATCGCGAGTTTCTCTAATTTATTCCTACGCGATATTGGTTTTCATTAATAATTTTACCGTGAACGAATACTTCTGCATTGCATTGATCTAACAGGAAATAAATTCCAAATCGTGCATACTAAACGTTTCGTATTTTATTATTTCTTAAATCATATTTCTCATTCAAAATAGACTCTGAATGACATTTTTTAAATAGAATATTTTATTACTTGTATATTATATGTTTCATTCAAAATAGACTTTGAATGACATTTTTCAAATAGAATATTTTATTTCTTCTATATTATACTTTTTATTCAAAATTGATTCTGAATATTGTTATTTACGAAAAATATGCAAAATAAATATAATCTTTATGTTATTTGCTTTATTTATGATACATTCTAAACGCTATTATTTTAAAAAAACAATTTTTTTTATGTTATGTATTTTATTTAAAATTTTTCTGATAATTTTGGATAAAGCATTTATAGACTTCACGCTGCATGAAATTTTGGTTTTATTTTTACCCATAGAACTCTCTGGCAAAGTTTGTTTGGAAGACGATATGTATATGTCAAATATATCTGTACGTGACACCGTGTGTATGTCTACCGACTGCATTGAAATGATGTCAGGCAGAATTTTTCGAGCGTATTGCATTCATGAAATAACGTCATCTCTCACGAAATTAAGCATAGACTCAAGAGATCTTAAGTATAATATATGTGAGTATATAAAAAAGGAAAATATAAATATTGGAAATTTTAATAATAAATGTTTGTAACTATAGCAATTATTTTTAACATCGATGTTCAAGTATACACTTTTAAATATCGATGAATATATAACGATGCAATAATACAAAACAATAATTTGAAATACCATTATTAATCCAGATACCATTAGTATAAAAATTGAAATTTTATATTTCACGTGCAAGCAAAATTTCTGTATACAAGTGATCCCTTTTTAAAACTGTGTAATATACACAATAAGAATTTCGATGTTACATTTCTTTGTTATAAACGTTTCTCTAACATTGTATAAACATTTTTCCATTATAAATATAAATACAAAATCTATCTTTCAAATGTTATTGAAATTTTTCAATACATATTTCACATCTTATTTATTTTTATAATTTATTAAATATTGAAATTATTTTTAAATGACTGAATTCTAGAATAATTAGTATTTTAATAAAATAAATAAAGAATGTTTATATGAAGTTATTTGCATGAAATTGTTTATCTTCATTTAATCATTTACCTCTATTTACAATAAACAACAATTTTGCAGGAAAAAGAAATGAAAGTATTCAAATTATTATATCAATAATAGAGAAACAGATAAAAGTATTTAAATAGCTTGGTTAATAACAGAAGCACAAATAAAAATTATGAAGGAACTTTGTCAATAATAGAAAAAGAAATAGAAACTTTGCGAATAACAGAATTATGTAAATACCTATAAAATTTTTGCCAATAAATGGAAGTTTCATGCATTAATCACGCGATATTTGGATTATATCGATTCTGAATTACGATGATATAATATTTACCTTATACGAACGTATCAATAAAATATGAAATAAATCAATCGCAGAAATGATATGACATAGAAAGAATTGTACAGTACTAGGAAAATATATGTATCTGAACAAAAATGTTTTTCTTCCTGTGTGTTGTTACGATGACCTTAAGAGAATACCTTGCGTGATGCTCGCAATTAGTTTAATGCTTACTTTCACGAAACTCGCACGGTACTTGCATGTTATGAAACATGAAATAAGCTTCCTTTGCATTTAAGTGGACAAAAGTATTCGGTTATTCCAATTACAACATAAATTACAACCTGAACATCATACTGAATATTTACTTAAACCTCCCAAACATATCACGAACCAAAAATTCTGTAAAAAATTTTGAAATTTTGGAAAAAATCATAGACAGTTTAAAAAATAAGAATTGAAAAGTTTTCGAAAACTAAAAGAATTCTGAAATTAAAATAATAATAATTCTATTTTTAGAAAATCATTTTATATTTTTATTATTGTATATTACCTTATAATATATTTTGAAAATTAATCATAATGATTGATATCGAAAAATAATTTATCAAAATAGAAAGATTTGTTATTCATCAGTCACAAATTTATGGAATAGTGTTAAAGAAAGAAAACTATAGTTATATAATATTCACGCAGAATTGTTGCAAACAAGGAACTAGAGTTCGTACAATTTACGATCATTTGATATTATTCGATTTGTTCGAGCGTCACTGCGCAGAGAAATCGGGTGTCTCTAAAAAGAATGGAATGGTCTGATTCAAATTTCCTAAGGATCATCTCCACTGGACTGCAGCTGATTCGGCAAACGTTCTCTTCGGTGACGAAAGTAAGTCCTAGTTATTTGAATCTAGGGGAATGTGGTGGATTTGCCGGAAAAAGGACGAAGATTTGATATCTGATACCAAAGGAAATTCCTACAGTAATACACGGAGGACTAGATACTAAAATAGATACTAAAAAAGAGTGTACATAGATTACTTTCGGACGACCACTGAATTTGATCAAATGGTTAAAAAAGGTTAAGAACAAATGCAAATTTTATGAAAAATCTATATTTGTGAGACTGATACATAAATTAAGAGAAAAAAAATATATATGGATAATATATGCTACAAAAATGGATTTTTAAATTGTCTATTTTTATTTTGGTTATTATAGTGTCCCAAATAAAATATTACAAGTTATTTTCTTTTTTTTAGGAACTAATAAGAAAATAATCCTATAAATATAAATATCAAGAAAAAATAAATTTTATTCAATTTGATGGAAACTATAAAAATAAGAAAAAATTAATACTATTTTTAATTTGAAAAAATATCATTCTTCTTTCCTTTAATTAATCATTTTATACAAATTTGTTGCACACTAACAGATTGACTAGCCTATGCTAATTAACTATAGCAAGAATGAAATTATAGCACTATTGGTCTTTGGGGAAATAGTTTGTGACCCTTCATTTTAAATACCTTAAATGTAATGAAAGATATTATGAACAAAAATCTAAATTTTATAGTAAGTATTTGTACATGTGTATATTGTAGTGTATGTCAAATAATTTATAAATTTTGGTATAATTATTTAAACCATCATTGCCTTGGGTTGTTAAGAGGAAGCTAACTTAGAAATGAGTTTCTGTAATGGAATGACCATTCCAAAGTACAAACCTAATTCTATTTAAAACTTTTGGTATTGTTTCTAAGAAATCTTGAATGTGGAAAGATTTAAGAATATATGGAAATTATTTTAATAATACATTGGAAATAATTGAGTATTTGTTTAAAGAAAATTTAAAAAAGATTTTGGAATTTATAGTAAGAAGAATATAACCAGTTATTGATCCCAGGAAATAAGTATGCTAGAAAATATATGTAATTTTATTTCATTTTTATGAATATATGACCGAATACTTTTGTCATTCACAGTTTTATTTATTATTCCAATACCGTGTTTATTGTTAAAATTCGTTGAATCTATTATAAAAATTAACTTTTTGGTATTATATCGTTTTTTAAAAATTACTTAATCAATTGAGTATTAATGATTTATCTCATTTACTTTATAAAATGCAGTTTTAATTTTGTACCTACATTTCATTTAATATAATATTTCTCAGAAGTTAATTAAAAGAATAGATACCACTATGGGAATAATATTTTTATAAAAAAGAGAAGAAAATAGTGTCTTCGAAATATATTATACTGTTTTTAAAGTGATTTAAAAATTAATTAGATATAAACAGTATTCATACAATTTTCACAGAAAATGATGTCAAAGATTAATTGATCAAATGAAATCAATGGTGTGTTAAATGTGTAATTCAAAGCACTTCCTCTGTGAAATATCAATTATCGGAAACGGATAAATTTATAACAGCGTTCATCCATCTCTATAGCGGAAGATCGGTCCGAAATTTCGGTATGAATTTTGGTTTATCCCAAATTTTCATAATTAATATCGTTAACAATTAATATCGTACTTGTCTTATATTAACGACGTTATGGTTTATGCTTTGTGTCGACAATCTTACATACACGATTATGTTGTATAATAGCTGATATCCTCAACCTTCAGCTTGTCTAGAAAATCTATACACTTAATATTTTATACTAATTATCACATCGACGAAAATAAATGTGCAAATTATTTGTAAATTTCCAATACATTAGTAAACTGAATTAAAATAGATAATTATACATATATATTTATGTGACTCTTTCTAACTACTCTAATTCCAAAGCAATAATTCCAAAAGTTAGCTACGAGTGAATTTAAATTTGGCGCCACTGCTCTATGTCTAAGAATATTCTTACCAAGATGGACTACTCGGTTTATGAAATGAATTTGAATGCAGATATCGATTCAAGCTACAGATATGCATATACTACCTTTAAAAATACTTCAAAACCATCTTCGAAATTATGTTCAAAATTACCGAAGAAAATTTAAATTTGGCGCCACTGCTCTACGTCTAAGAATATTCTTACCAAGATGGACTACTCGGTTTATCAAAATGAATTTGAATGCAGATATCGATTCGAGCTACAGATATGTATATACTACCTTTAAAAACACTTCAAAACCATCTTCGAAATTATGTTCAAAATTACCGAAGAAAATTTAAATTTGGCGCCACTGCTCTACGTCTAAGAATATTCTTACCAAGATGGACTACTCGGTTTATCGAAATGAATTTGAATGCAGATATCGATTCAAGCTACAGATATGTATATACTACCTTCAAAAACACTTCAAAATCATCTTCCAAATTATCTCCAAAATTACCAAAAAAAAAAAAAAAAAAAATCGTCGTTGTTCTCCTGGAAAAGTAAGCTCAACTATTTGGTATAGGTGGAATCGCATGTGGTATCAACTACCAATGAGATTCCTTTGCATCTAACTAGTGAGAGATTGAAGTAGCGAATGAGTGGTGCGTAATTATGCGTTACCTGAGAGCAAGTATGCTGAGTAGGATGTTGCGTGTATGCAGCGTTTGCCGCTGCGCATACTCCAGTCCCAGGAACTTTCAATTGCTCCTTGTAATCGGGCTGGTATGGTAGCAACATGCGGATCTTTCCCCAACGATTGAAGAAAAGTGCTATTGCGCCTGCCCAGAAGATCAGCACCAACACCACTATGCCAACCTCTACGCCACGAACCTGTAATTTAATCTTCTGTTAGTCTCGTGCAGCTGATCGTGTAGCAAATGGAAACACTTATTTCTAATTACTCCGTATTTTACCATGGCTTATATTACCTACAAGAAATTAACGGGTGTTAGGTAAATCAAGAGTTTTCATATTTCTGAAATTTTGTGGGTGTGTTGACTACCCCGGGTGGTACTGTAAATTATTTTTCTTTTGATCATTTCATTTAAATTATTTTTCTACAATTTGGGGTGATGGTACCGCGTATGTATATATAGGGTGTCTCTGCTAATGGTAGTAGAATTGCAAAGGGGGAGGGGGGTGATTCTACGTGAAAAATTAAATCGAAAATAAAGAATAAAATTTTTTCATTCGAAGCTTCGTTTTCGAGAAAATCGACTTTGAATATTCACAGAGTACGCGTGCACTTAGCTTCGGCTTGGGTGGGTAGCCATCAGTATGCCAGTGCACTCAGTGAATATTCGAAGTCGATTTTCTCGATAACGAAGCTTCGAATGAAAAAATTTTATTCCTTATTTTCGATTCGTTTTTTCGTGTAGAATCGACCAGTTGTACTACCGTTGCTGGGACACTCTGTATATACAAGGTGTTCGTAAAGTTATGGTACAGTCGATAAGGAGGTAATATCTCGTATAAAACTAATTGTGAGTCGAAAATGTAGAATAAAATTTGTTCATACGGAGCTTCGTTTTCGAAAATTCGAGAGAAATAGGCCCAATTCAAGTTTCGTTAATTTGTCGAGCAAGAATTCAACTCTGATACCAAAAAAGACGTTTGTGACATCTGTAAATTATTAAAATAAATTAAGTATCGTTACTTACGGTTTAATATCCGTTTAAGTTATATCGTATTCTGACCGATATCGTTTACAAGTGCAGACAATAATGCGTGTAAGAGGATCAGACTGTACTTAAGTGCACGCGCTCCCAATCTTTAAATATTTAAATTCGATTTTCTCGAAAACGAAGCCCTGTACGAAAAAATTTCATTCTTCATTTTCGACTCAATTTTAGTCGAGGAATTACTTTTGTGCCGATTGTACCACGATTTCGTGAATACTCCGTATATTCAACTGTTTTTCTGTTTATTTGTTAATATATCGATTTAAAACTACAGTGGGTGTGACAAAATTTTTGCAACGAATATTTAATAGCTTTCTGTGCTTTTTAAGATTACAGTACGAAAATAGTTCAATTTTATTTATTTACATTAAAAATATATATCTTTAATTCTTAGAATATGTATCATCCATGTGTACTGACAAATTCTTAGAAATATTGTATTATAAATATCTATATGTTCACAAAATGTATGACACAAATATTTATTGTATATTTATACTAATTTATTTATAATATAAGTAAATTATGTAAATTTCATTTTACAGAATGTACTTTTTAAATTTCTTGACAAATTTCTTCATTCTGTTAATGTAGTACCAAAATGTACTAATTAAAAGTTTTAATTAAATTCTTTTTACAAATAAAAGTTAAGATTATCGCAAAATCTTAGTGTAACACAGAGCTTCTTAAACTTTTTTATTTACGTCCTTTTTCTTTCTTACAAAATTTAAACAAATTTTTCAGAAACACTGGAAAACCATTGTCACTGAAAATTACGTTTAGTTAAAACTCTTTTTCAGGTAATAAACGTTATATTTTCATCGCTTTTGAATATTTTATTTACGTTGCATCTAGCATCAACAGTTAAAACAATAGATTGCTTAGGTGACTCACAGGGGGACATACAAGGGAAAAGAAGTAATTTGATTGCACTGCTTCATTCCCTGTTCCTAAATCATCGTACACAAGCTCACCTTGATATATGTTGACATATCGACCAATAAGGAAAATACGCGTACCCTATTTTTTATGATGGTATTAACAAAGGTGAGGATATAACCCTTGGGACATAGCCAATTGGACCCTTATCCCCAACACAGCCATTCTCTGACCAAACATTCTATCTAATTCCGTGTTCTTATTAAATATTGGAATGTTCTAAATTCGTGAACTATCTGGTGATTCGAGATGTATTATAATTCAGTTTATTCTAAATTTCTGACCTGTATTGATTTGTGCCTTTAAAAGTTTTGATTCTTTTATCATTTAAAATTTATATTTATTTCTTTATTATTTATTATTCGTTTATATATTATTTATTTTATATATTATTATAATTGATATTAATTTATTATTTATTTACATATTATTTATTTTATATCTTATTATAATTTATATTAATTTATTATTTATTTATATAATAAATAAAAATGTTTATTTACAGTCATTAAAATTCAGTTTGAGCTCATGATGAATTAAACAGTATGAGAAGAGTGTGAAGAGAAATTGTTTCACTTATCGTTATCGTTCGTTGAATTCGTGTGTTTTGATATGATCTCACGTTGTATAGGGTGCCCCATGAGGTAATGGTTACATAGATTTTTAAATATATATGGATTGGGATGAATGGAACGAGTATGCATGGGTTGGAAATATCTAATGAATTCAGGTTATTATGATAAATGAGTAGGCGTGTAATCATTGAGGTGCGTGTGAATTGTGTATGTAATGTAATGTGTGAAAAAAAAAAAAAAAAAGGAGAGTGATTTGCCATACGTCAGTTGAATTGAGTTTTAATAGTGAGAAGACGAGTGAGCATGTAATTGTGATAAATTAATTATATTTCAACGGAATGCTTGTGTTTAATAATCTTTCTAATTAAATAAATAATTGTTCTTATTGTTATTAAATTTCATCCACCACTAACACCCTAAGATTCTCGTGAGATTTGAATTTTGTGCCATTTGTGTGGTGAAGTGTAGCCAACTAAAAAAAGACAGCAAGACAATTGATAGCACAGGGTTATTAAAAATGGAGTCTTATACGAAAGAACAATGTGTCTTCATTGTTGAGCAATATTTACAATTTTTAATTAAAAACGTGTATTTTTCTCACGAAATTATTTCTTGCGTGAATTTGGGACACCCATTATATGGATAACTCTTAGAAAGTGATTATATCTATAAAATTCTTCTTCCATGACGAACATGAGAAGATAGATTTCAGTAAAATATCACGTAACAAAAATGTTATTACACGAGACTCAAATTACGTACAAATAAAAAGTAAGGTTATGTTCCAAGAAAGTAAGGTTATGTTAAAGAATGATATTTACTTATTTCAGGTACCTACATATATCAATTGACAATTTATATGTATCCATGTAAGCACATATATGTGCTTCGTGTTATGTAAGAACTCAGTACAATTTATGAATCATGTTATATCAAAATAGCGTTTTATAAGTACTATATTATACGAGGGTAACCTATATATTTTATGATCGGGGCATAAGACGGTCCAATCAAATCGCAAAATTCTTCGTCTTATTTTTATCAATTATCCGATATCTGAGTTCAAAAAAAGAGAACAAAGAAATTTAGAAAATAAATCAGTACATGTTTAGTCTAAATTCTGTGAGAGTGTACATAGATGTCGATTGTCGTTGGAACTGGCGTGACTGAAAAGTGTTGTCTTGGATTTCACGAGCAATATCGTATTTCAGCCAATCGAAGTCTTCCTAAAAATATATAATGTTGTGGTCCGTTAAGTGACTGCTCCCAACGAAGATTGTCCTATCCTAACCTCACTACAAACAAGTGTTCTAAACGTGTTTTCCCAGTGGTTATATGTTTCTCCTAATTGTTAAAGAATATGGTTGACGTGATTCATGTTTGTGTTACGAGTAATACATATATATTTGTGTAAGTATGACCATAATATAGTCATGCAGGAAAATATTCAAATGTTCATAGGAGTGATATATAGGTGAAATATAGGGTGTTTCAAAATTCACGTTAGATTTGAATTTTGCGCCATTTGTGCAGTAAAGTGTTGCCAACGAAAGAAAAAAGTTACCATGACAGAAGATAGTTCAGGATTATTAAAAATGGGGCGCTAGTATCTATTTTGGAGCGAATGAGAGAAGGTAGTAAGTGAGAATACTAATTTAATAATTTTATATATTATACGAAATTAATAATAATGTAATTTAACAATGTATAGGGCGTCCCAAAATTCACGCAAGATTTGAATTTTGCGCCATTTATACGGTAAAGTGTTGCCAACGAGAAGAAAAAGACAGAAAAAGATAGCTGATAGTTCAGGGCTATTAAAAATAGAGTGCTACATGAAAAAAACAACGTGTTTTCATTGTTGAAAGATATTTACAATCTTTAATTAAAATCCTGTGTTTTCTATCAAAATTACTTCTTGAGTGAATTTTGGGACACCCGTTAATATTGATGCCCGTGATAAGAGAAATCTCAAAATTATATCAGTAAAATTGGAAAATAATTAAACGATATGTACAGTATTTACAATTTACAGTTATCAGTAGTGCATGTTTCTAAATTTAGAATTATTTAATATAGGTTATTTAATATTATATAGTACAAAATTTAGAATTTATTACAAATATCCACCATTGATGGATCATAAATATATACAAAAGCATTACTAATTAAAAATGAGAAGTTTCAATATTATATTGATTTATATTTTGTCACTTCTGACAGTTTTAAGACGATTTTTCATTCGGCACACTAGCGCCACCATGACTCATATGTATGATAAATGTACTATTAATATTGTATACATCATATATCATGTTGAATTACTTTATAATTTTACTGATCTTTCAATTTCCACTTAACTACATATATCATATTCCTTTTAAAAATGTCAATTTAAAATAAATGTATATTTCACTTATTAGATATAGCAAATGTAAGAATTGGTATACTTTAATGTAGATATGAAATTTTGGAAAGTGATATTCTTGAAAATGAAATTTCTTCGTCCATTTTGTTTATTTATTTTTATAAAGAATTATCCCTTTTCATGGTTATATTACGAATTGAATTCGATTATTGATACATTTAATTTTAATTAATTAAATTAATTGATACTGATATAGTATCATTAATCTTGTAAAAAAAGTTCATTAATTGCGATTATGGGGTGCGAAAGGTTGAAAATTATAGCGATTTTCATTGAATTCATCACGTTGTCACTTCAGCCACCTAACCTATACCACAAGTGCGATAAGTGATTAAAAGGCTTTTAGACACTCCATATTCGATTTATTCGGGTCTTCGGTTCAGTATCATTTACAACATGTAACAAAAGAAATAAAAGACTGTGCAAGCGTCTCTTTTTCGTCAAATTGACAATGATAATTTTGCTAATAAAATATAGTAAAATTTACAGCTTAATAAAAACAAACGTAATAAAATGTATTAAAATAAACAGAGAAAATGTCGTTATTACACTTACATACACATTTAATGCGAAAAAAATTATGTATTATATTATTAATATGATTGCAAATAATGGTTTATTTGCATGATTTGCAATAGTTTTGAATAAAGAAAACGGAATCTATATTTTTAATTTTTATCAATAAGCACTATGTGTTTACTTATTATAATCAAATATGATTTTCTCGAAAAATCAAAACATCGAAATTTCTTACAAAATAAGAAAATTTCGAATTTTGAGAATTCAAAACTTTGTACCTCTTTTTAGAAAATTTAATTTGAAATTTTTTATCTGAAATTTTTTCTAAGGAAATACATGAAATTAATAGATAAATTAACAGATAAAAAAAATTACATGCTGCCATTAACAGTGCCATTAACGCAAAAAGGGTTCGAAGTCAATTAGTTTTGAATAAAAATTTGGTTTCTATATCCTTTATTTCTATATCTTTTAATTCTTAAAATAAAATACTTTCTTTGCGTAATAAACTCAGCATTTCGAATTTTGCAAATATCGAGATATTTTAAATTTGACGGTATTTTAGATTCGAGTCTTAAAAATTTTTAAAATAAGTTCCAATTTATTTTTGGTAAGGAAATACTGGATTTCAGACTTTCAACAATACATTTTCTGTGTTTTATTTTCTTTTTATTTCAAATAAATTAGTTAATATTTAAAAATTAAGACCTTTGTAACATCAATTTTAATTGAATATAAAAAATATACTGTAACATTCATTTCTTCAAATTTCATTAACATACACAGAACCAACTTTAGGGTTTTCTTGTGAATCGATGCAGCTAATAATATAAGACTGAAATTAACTGAATGTTGCAGAAGAGGTAAAGGAGCATTTTGTTTATTTACGTGGAAAATTAGTTTATATCAAGATGTTATACGTCATCTTAAAGTTACATCGTTTACACAATTTATAGAGATATTGATTTTTGAATAGAAGAGTTTAATAAATACGAAGGGTAAGGTTTTATTATTAACCTCTTTATTTATTTATTTCTTATTTATTATTATATATTTCTTGCTTCCTATTTCAGTGCTAAGAATATATGATATAATAAGAAAAATCATATTGATAAGTTTATAATAAATAATACTTTCCAATTTTATTTTAATTACCAATTTATTATAATTTTATATCAATTTGGTTATAAACAACTTGTATCTGATCTTAAAAATGATTTTTTCAGATTTTTGGACCAGATTATGTATCATGTCCTTAATATAATTTATATTTGAACATATTTATATATTTACAGTTTTAGTATAATAATGTTAATAAATATAATATAGGGTGTTCAATTTTAATGTATTATTATTTCACTATTATTACTGTATATTAAATATTTATAACAATAAATGTACACATATAATACATATATAAAATATTTTGCTATTTCACTATAATTTTATACAATATTTTTAAATAATTATAGGAATATAATGGGATATTTTTAAGACCATTATAGAAGATCAAGGGATACATTCTAAGACATCGGAAGGATGTTGCTAAGTGATGGCATTAAGGTTAGGCAAAGGTCAGTTAAGTTTCTTTAAATGGAATTATGTATATTTTTAATGCACTAGTCGATGCAGCTCATTATTTCCTTTAAAAAAGTACTAACCTATTTACGTCAAAGAGCCATTAATTTAGAAGATGCTGTAATTTAAATATTACAAAGGAATTGCAGTATTGAAATTACTTTAATTAATATGTATGTATAACAACTGATATATAGTACTCGATATGTATATAACAATTATCATTGTTACTATTGTTACAATTAATTACTAACATAGTAACTGATATATATGCATAATGCAAAGTCATTTATAAAATGACACAAGGTCTTTTATTTTTTGAAAATAGTAGAAGATAATAAAATGATAAAATTCATTAAACTATAGTCATTCATGTATGATTAATGAAACGTGATTTATTTTAATAAAATATCCCAAAATAATTTAGTATTCTTGAGGATCCTAAAGTTAAAACACACATTCTATTAAACAATAAAATTAGGTACCTTGATTCTTTAGAGAAAGAATTTATTAAAACACATTTTTAAAATAAATTATAATGTCTTCTTTAATTTTTATTTTAATAAAATATCCCAAAATAATTTAGTATTCTTGGGGATCCTAAAGTTAAAACACACATTCTATTAAACAATAAAATTAGGTACCTTGATTCTTTAGAGAAAGAATATATTAAAACACATTTTTAAAATAAATTATAATGTCTTCTTTAAATTTTATCAATTTTTATGCATTCCTTTAATAATTAGTTGACCTTTAAATAAATCTGCTATATTCTAGAGTGCATTTCACCTTTCTGTCTTCATAGTATTAATTTCCTAGAGTATACAGACGTTAGTGAAATTTGTAATAAGTTTATACGTGTTTCGTGTTTATTGTTCCACAGTGGCCCATTTCTGATCTGTCTTGATGTTTCTGTAGAACTTGCGAAGTTTTATGTTCATACATTGTTCCATCACGAGACCACTATTCATAATGAAGCGACTTCAGACAAAATTGCCTCTAACAGACCCCAGTTGCATTTGCTTGTTTTAATCAATAGCTGCAGATAATTAATTTCCTAGTTCAGATTGTTAGAAATTTGATTAATAAACTTGCATCTAAAAAGGTAAGTTCCTTTTGCAAAGTATCATGTTATTGTGTTCCTCTTTCACTATAACTTTTGTCAACTTTCAACACAACTTATTTTTTTTAATAATCACATTTTTCTTAAATTTCATATCATTCAGAGAAAATAATTGTTTGCTAGAAAGAAAGTAGAAATAGTTTACAAATTAAGATCTTCGTTATTGTTTTATTTTAGGTACAACACAAAACAAAAAAAAAAAACAAAAATATTATTTTAATTTAACGCAACTTTAATTTAATAAATTTCTCCATCGTCACTGCTCGTGTAGAGGTACAGTGTTGTACAAAGGTTTTTGCAATTTTCTTATCATGTTAGAGAGAAACCGTGTTATAGGATGCCGTGCTGTAGGAGGGTTCCCACAATTTATGAATCGTGTTATAGTGAAACCGTGTTATAGGATGCCGTGTTGTAAGAGGGTTCCCACAATTTATGAATCGTGTTATAGTGAAACCGTGTTATAAGAGGGTTTTCACAATTTATGAATCGTGTTATAGTGAAACGGTGTTATAGGATGCCGTGTTGTAGGAGGATTCCCACAATTTATGAATCGTGTTATAGTGAAATCGTGTTATAGGAGGGTTTCCACAATTTATGAATCGTGTTATAGTGAAACCGTGTTGTAAGAGGGTCTCCACAATTTATAAATCGTGTTATAGTGAAACCGTGTTATAGGATGCCGTGTTGTAGGAGGGTTCCCACAATTTATGAATCGTGTTATAATGAAACCGTGTTATAGGATGCCGTGTTGTAAGAGGGCTACCTGTAATTCGATTTTGTATGAATTTCTAAACGTGTTACTAAAATTTAAATATATCTATACATATATGAAGAAATGAAGTGAACTATGAAGAGATATTATAGGTATAGGCCAAGCATCTGTTCTATGTTATTTTACACGCGAATAAAGCTGGCTATGCCATTCGTTCTGAACTGCACGTTATCCAATAACTGTATCGATGCTTTCATCGTGGTAGTTTCGACAAACGTTTCCTCTGTCTATACGTATCGCAAAAACATTTCGAAATGGATACCGTGCCTTCTACGTTTTAGATATTTCGATATTTTTCGATAAAATTTTATTCGCTTAAATAACCAAATCAAATACTTTTACTTTTCAATAACTCATAATGCAATTTGTTTTAACTGCTGTTAATTACTGTTCACGTGATATTATATTAATATTGTATTAATAAGTAAAACTCAGATGTATTATGAAAGTAAATGAAAATAGAAGAAAACTAAATTAGTTTAAATTAGTGTAAATTAGATTAAATTAGGAAAAATAATTAAATTAGCTTAAATTAAATTAAATTAGATTTATTAAATTATTACTAAATTATATTGTTAAATTATACCATATAAATTTAATTTGAAATCATTACTAAATTATACTGTTCATTTTCTTTCTAGGGGAATAGATAAATCAAATTTTAGAAATTTAGATTAATTACTTTTAATTAATTGCTGAATAATATAGTCGATATAGTCAGAAAATATAGGATTAACGATAGTAATACGAAGAATATACCTCATTTTTTAAATTATTTTTAGTTTATGTGAAAAAACTGTTTAGCATTATAATTGCAATTTTTATATTCTTAATATAAGTTCTTGCATACTTAACAAAGTAATTTATTGTAAAACATTTTTAATTTTAGTAGTTTTCTTTACAAAAATTTAAAATACATATTTAAAGGCATTTTTTATATATTAATGTCAATAGCTTGTATAAATATTTTTATTTCAAAACAATAAAATAAATTAACGAGAGACATTCAAATTTAATATCCTTAAAAAATTTAATATTTAAAAATTCAATATCTTTGGGTATTAAATATACTTCTATAAAATCAAAGTATATGCAGTCAAAAAATTTGAAAAATTTTAAACAATAATAATAATCAAACGACAGTATTAAATACTTAAAAAAGTTTTCGTTGAATCTTCATTAATAATAACAAAAATATAGTTTGTCTTACTTGCAGATAAGGTTGTGGTTGTTGTGAAGAAGGTGGAGGAGGTGGAAGAGGACCGCCTGTTACCGCTGCATCCTGTTGAGGGGATGTTCGTGGTGGTTCTAAAACATATAGGCACACATATATTTACAAGTATAAAATATTGCTATTGAACATATCAGAAATTTTATTATATTTTGTATTTCATTTTATCATAAATCTTCAGCGTGAATTCTCCATTTTGAATATATGTTATTCGTGTTATACTAATATATCAAATTATTACAAGGGTGTTAAAATTGCAAGTTACAAGGCACACGAAGTTCTTCTACAATAGATACTTAATATAGCTCATTGGATCTTACAATTAGAAATTTCATAATTAATAATTAATTTATGAAAGAAATATATATATCAATATAATTAATATAAAATAATGTATAAATTAAGAATTAGACAGTGGTTAATAAAAACAGTTATATGGGTTAATTAATAGAGATATACTAGTCCAATAGGAGACACGTCTTTTGACTTTTTTGATAGTTGAAACATGGCTCCTATCGTAAGATTCAAAATTATATTTATTTATATTATATCATTACAAGATAGTACGAAACGTGTAATGTTTCAAGGTCATTAAAGGGTGCAAAATGACAAATATAT